TTAGTTTTATCAAGTTCTAAAATAATACAGTACTCAATAAAGTCCAAAGTCCTCTATTAATTCTTTAATAAAGTATACTCTGGCCTTGCCAAAAATGCTTCCTTTAAATGAACTACTACAGTGATGTGATATTCTACTTTGACACTATTAGGAGTCTCTCTTCTGTGTCTTATGTTACTTGTAGTGTATTGAGAATGCTATGCTACTTGTAACAGTATTTAATAATTTAATAATTAGTTTTGATCAAATTTTGCAGATTATTTAATTAGATTTGAAATTGTTTGACTTTAAAACTAGTTAAATAATTTGCAAATTTAACTAAAGTTACAAAATTTTTTAACTTTAGCTAAAGCTAGAAATTATTAAAATTCTTTAATTTTTTAGTATCTATTAGCTATATACTAAATTTTATATTAAACTTATTAATTAAAAAAAAAAATAATTTGTAAAATTTTGAGATATTTATATTTTTTATTTTTATTAAAATTTTATAAGAAAATTATTTTTATTTACTTAAATAAAAATAACTAGTACTAAATTTTATATATAAACTTATAAAAAATTTATTTATTTTATTTATATTTACTGTTTAAAAGCTAGAAATTTACTTAAATTAAATTATATTAAAATTCAATAACAAATTAGATTAAAAATTTAAATTTTAACTAATAAAAATTTGATAAAGTTGAATTATAAAAAAATTTAATACAAAATTAGTATAAATTCAATATTTGATTTTTTATAAAATTTAATAGAATTAAATTATAAAAAAATTTGATACAAAATTAGCATAAATTTGAATTTTGAATTTTTATAAAATTCAATAAGGTTGAATTATAAAAAAATTAATACTATATACTACATATAATATGATAAAGATATCTAAATTTTTTGATAGTTTATACTATTATATTATATAATTTATAAAATTATACAAATATATGCAATATATTAGTTCTAAATAATTTCATTTTATAGCTTAAAACAAGTTATTATAATAAAATTTTATGTTATTTAATATCAAACTTCTCTAGTTTTATCTAAACTAAGTAATAAAGTTATACTAGATAAAAATATATCAAAGTAATATAATTATAATATGTATAGTAATAATTTTTTATTAAAAGTTATTATTATTATATTAAGTTATATGTTATATAATTTAAATCTATATAAAATATTACAAATTTTGTCATTTAATTTCTTATAAAATTCACTAAAGTTAAATTATAAAAAAAAAATTAAACCAAAATTAGTACAAATTTTATTATTTAAATTCTTATAAAGTTGAATTATAAAAAAAATTAAACCAAAATTAGTATAAATTTTGTTATTCAAATTTTTATAAAATTCATTTGATAAAGTTAAATTATATTAAATTTTTTAATTTTGACTAGTATATATAAGATAGTTTAAGTTTTTCAAAATTATATATAGAACAACTTTACTTAAATAGCTAAAAGTAGTTTACTTAGTAGAATTTTAGAATATTACAAGTTTTTTTTAAGAAAATTTAATACAAGTGATTATTAGAAAGAGTTAGTAATTTGCATCTTTAGATTATAATTTAGTATATTTTATTTTTTAATATTTAATTAAACTTTGATATAATTTTATAGAAAATAGCTTAGTATACTAAAGTATTTAAATATCTTCTTAGAAAAAAAGATAATCAGATCTTTAAATATTAATATAGCTGAATTAAAAAATTTATTAGAGATGAATAAATTTATTCACCTGAATTATCTAATAGATTTGATGAAAAGATACTAAAGAACAATTATATATTAATGTTTATAATCTATTTTAGAGATTATTTGAGGTATAATTTATTTTTATTTTATTTTTATTTTATTTGTATTTTTATTTTTATTATTATTTTATTTTATTTTTTTATTATTATTTTGTTTTTATTTTTTATTTATTTTATTTTTTTTAAATAGTTAACTAACTTATAATAAAACATTTTTAACTTAGCTAATAAGTCTAAATACAAATATTCTAATCAATTATTATCTATACTAAATACTCTTTAGTCTGATAATATGTCTAATTAAGCAGTAGGTAAGAATAGTAAAGAATATAATTATAGTAATACTAAGAATAAAAATATAGATAGTAATAAGAAAAGTAAGAATAAATAGAGTAGTGATAATAGAGACTATAAAAGATCAGCTTATGATACTGAGAAAGAGCAAAGAAAGCAAAGAGGTTTAATTTTTTTTAATTTTTAATTATACTTTTAAATTTTTATAATTTATTTTTTAATTTTATAATAAATATATAATTTAGTAGTCAAAATTATTAGTTGATTTTTTATTATTATAATTCAGAAAGATAAATATTTAGCTGAATTGTTTAATCATTCAGTTAGTTAAATCTATATCTATCTATTTAAAAAAAATTGACTACTGAATGAAATAGCAAATTTAACATAAATTCAAATATTGAATATTTAGTTAATTTTATATTTAATTATTCAGTTAGTTGAATTTATATCAATTTATTTAAAAAAATCAACTACTAAATGAAATAGCTGATTTGACATGTATCTATATATTGAATATTTAGCTAATTTTATATTGAATATTATTAACAATTGGTATCTGATTTTATACTGATTTGTACAACTATTCAATATAAAATCAGCTAAATATTTGATATACAAATTTATGTTGAATTAACCATTTCATTCAGTAGTTAATTTTCTTATATTTAACTAGTGATTTTCTATATTATTTTTAAATAAAGAGATTATCTAAAGCTGTGTGACCAAGAGCCAATAAATTCATTAATTTTTATTAACCTAGTGAGACAAAAACAAAATAAAAAATAAAAAACACAAAAAAATAGAAGAAACAAATTTCTAAATCTGCTTTGATGCATTAATAAAAATGTTGAGAAGACAATTTTACTATTTATATACTTTTTCTAACCCTAACTCTAACACTAGGCCTAACTATTTTTTCAAATTTTAGTAAAAAATTAACTTTTAAATGATCTCTAAATAAAGAATTTTTTATTTTTTTTTCTTAATTGGTCACCCTCTCAAATATTTAAGCTGCCATCAATAGAAATCAAACAAATCTTTATTTCAAAAACATTTAATGCCTTAACTTTCACAGCTCATATCTGATGAATTTTGAAGCTATATTGATCATTCAATAGTCAAAATAAAGCTTATGAACTAAGCTTTCTTCTGATTATTAAATCATTAAAATAGCTTTAAAATTCATCGCGATATTAGCTTTTTTTATTGAAATGTAGATTTGCTTGATTTCTATTGACGGCAGCCCATTTGATGTGACCAATCATAGTGATTAATAAGTATTTGCTATGTAAAGAATATAGCAAATGTTTATTCATCACAAACATGAATGCTCACACCCTATACACCGAGATCAATAACTTATCGAATTCGGCAAAATAATTTTCGGTCAATTTTTTTTAGGTGTCCCAGGATTTATGAAAACAGCTGTAATAGACTTTCGACTTTCAATAATACTTTCGAATTTCGATCACACTTTCGAGTTTCGATAACAATTACGAGATTCGATAAGATTTTCGAGATTCGATAACACTTTCGAGATTCGATATCGATATTTCGACACTATAGGATTTATCGAAATAGTTTCGACATGCCAAAATATTTTCAATAAGCATCCTTAGTTCCTGGTTTCGCGCAACTGTGTTGCACAACTACTTATTATATAATAATCATGCCGAAATCACTTATCATTCCTGAAATCAAAACTTAATTAATTGGTAAAATGAATCATTCGGCTAATTTTTAACCATGTGTTCCACGTAGAAATGGGCAACATAATTTATTATATAATCAATATGTATTTTTAATCCTTACATATTTTATAAAAAATATTAACCGTACATAATTTTTAAGAGAAATAGATCACTATATAAAATAATTAAAAAGTTTTAAATCTTTTCTTGAAAATTTTGAAAAATTTAATTAGCGTTAGCTAATAAATGATGATATAATTTTCCATTATTACATGGGGTCTTTGCCTTGAAAATGACGTTATGGGACATAGTAAATCATGATCCATACTTGATTTTCAAGGCAAAGACCCCACATATTTGCCCATTACTATAATGATAACGGCTGCAAGCAGGACAGTTAATCTACTCGGATAAATTTACCCGGATAACTACAGTTTTAACCGAATATTCGAGTTATCCGCGGGTTACCCGAGTAGCCTCCATCCGGGTCCAACCTCTAATACGAACGAGATTTTAAAATAAGTGTTGATCTTGAAAACTTTATTACGGTAAAATATATAATAAGCTTAGGATAAATCTATACTGCGATTATAGATGTGTGCCTAAATTATTTTTGAAAAAAGTATTTTCGGCAAACATTTCTGCATTGTTACATTTTTTAAATTAAACGCTCCAAAATAATCTATACTATATGAAATATTTTGATGAAAAGAGTTCAAAGAATTTCGGCAATAATTTCGACAAATATAAATGCCGTAATAATTTTTTATTAGGATGAGCAATTTATATAACTGCGGTATGCTTATTATATATTGTCTTTTATGATAGAATCAATATTGTTATTGTTATCCTAAATTGTTACATGCATAAATTCCCAAATACCGATACCGATACGTATATATTTACGTATTTAAATGAAGTTTTTTGTCGTTTGTTTAGAATTATTATTTTTGAAGTTCTGATTTTAAAAAATGAGTCAACAACCAATTTTAGGAACGACTCATCATAATTCTATTTGCGTTTCCGATTATAAAAGAAGTTTTGAATTTTATGATTCATTTCTCCCTAAAATTGGTTTGTAATGAATATTAAAATATCTTATCGTCTGCGCTAATTTGTTTAATGATCTAAATAGTAGAACCGATTACTTATAACTCTGATCAAATTTGGCCAAGTTCAGAGTTTTTAATACCATAATCCGGCAAAATTATCTACAAATTTGACCAGAACCGATTACTACTATTTAGATCATTAAACAAATTAGCGCATACATAACTAGCGACGTGCTATTTATATGACAGCTGAATTTCGTGTACCAGTTACCAGTACATATGTATAGCTTTACAATAGTCATAGTAAGCAGAATAAAAATAAAAGAAATTATATGCAAATTTTTTCAACAATTTTAATTAGAACGCGAAAGATAGTTTTAAAAGCATAATCTAGAGATATTTTTATGTTTTTTTTTTTTTTTTTTTAAAAAAAAAAAAAACCCCCGAGATAGCAATTACCTGGGGACTAATGACGAGAATATTTTTATGATTTTGTTTTAGAATATTATAACATTTGTTATTTTCTCACAATAATGTACAAAATTTTTTTATACAGGTTATAAGATTCTTAGAAAAACTGAATACTACACCAGCTGGGTGAACCAAGCCTTAGGTCAATTCGTTATCTCACGGGCAAAGGATGAATATAAAGATATTAAGCATACGAGATATGCGGTTGGATTTCATCATTTAGCTTGGAATGCTACCTCTGAAAAAGAGGTTGATGAACTTTATAACTTCTTATTTGAGAAAAATTACAAAATTTTGGACGCTCCAAAGAGCTATAATTATGCTCCAGTATATTATGCTGGTATGTCTTTATAACTTTATTTATTTTGTCTTCATTTGTATATATAATTAATAAATATTTTTCTATGATCATTAATTTTCAACATCTATTTTATTTTTCTCATCGTCCAAAGTATTTTGGGAAGATCCGGATGGTTTAAAACTTGAATTCTGTTATGTTCCATTTCCTTATGAAAGTGAAGATAAGCAGAAATTAGGATAATATATTCAAGAAATTTATTTAACTTTAAGTGAAAATGTATTTTTGCTTTTAAATAAAAATTTCAACTTACAATTTACAGTGTTCGGTGAAATATATCGTTACTGTACATGGAAATCGAACACATATGTCGTATGATTGGTCGACATAAATTAATTACCTTAAGCTAAATACGAACGAGATTTTAAAATAAGTATTGATCTCGAAAACTTATTAAAATATAAAGTTTAGAATAAACTATTGTATACTACGATGTGCTTTATATCCATATGGGCTAAATATTGTTGTATACGTCACTCTGGTTATACTGACACCTGGATATAACGACACCATTTCTATACCGACAATTTTTTTCAAAAATTTAATATAAAATGTCGGTATAACTCACTATATTGACATTTTGGATTTTTTTACTAATG